AAGTCTACCTCAAGTGTTTGAGCCTCGCGCGTGCAGATCCTGCAAGCCAGGTGGCTTGTTCCTATCGCTGAGCGCCGCCACTCGCTGCGATCGACGTCGCGCGCCCCGAAGAAATCCCTTGACCTCGCAGCGCGGTCGCTGGCTGCGCGCCCGTTGCTGAGCGCGCTCAGGCACCGCGGGCGCTGATTTGCAACTGCCGGCGGGGCCGCCAGCGGCCTGCAGATGTGCGTTTCCCTCCTGCGCCCTGCAATCGCACGCGCCGCTCTTGATCCCCCTCCGCGCCCCTCTGCCCCCCGCCCTCCCGGCCTCCCCGTCGCGCCCGCGCGGTTGCGCCAGTGTGATTTCTCCGCCTCCATCGCCCCCTCCTCGCCGTCGTTTCCGTCCATCTTGTGTTCCGCTGCATTGCTGTAGCGTCGCAGGGTCGGCGCCGGCCCACTCGCCCATTCTGGGGCACCAAGCAGTTGCATAATGAAGTCCAAGGAGCGCCCCCCGAAGTCTCGTTCACAGATGCTGGGGCGTCGAGGTCGTCTCTATGTTGCCGCGCCCATGGCGCGCAGCCCGCGCAGCCCCTCAACCTTATCTGGCGCTGAAGCGCCACACGCTGCCGCAGCACCGTGATCCGTCGGTAATTGGGCCCGGCGCCTTCACCATCTGATCCGTCGCCCTCGTAGCGCCGCCGCCGCGCGCCCCAGCGCCCATTCCCCGCAGACCTTGCCCGCGCTGTGGTATCTGATGTCACCGCGCTTCCTCGCCCAGCTCGCGCCCCCCTTGCAAACGCTCGCAAGTATCTTGCCGAGGTAGCGCCATGCGCATATGCGAGCTTCTGCGGGGGGCAAAGGCCGCCAACCATGATGGAACAGCTCCCATGACAAAGGCAGCGAAGATAATTTTCTATTACCTTCGGCGTCTTCTTGCTCAAAACGGCACCTCCCTGTCTCTGCGCGGGCTTGGCCGCGCCCCCCCCTAAGCCTTGTTCGCTAGGTAGGTTCGGCCCTGGGGCTCCCATTTCCCGCGCCATGGTGCCTTCGATGGTCTCGCGTTTGAGGAGTTCCCTTGCGGTCCCGTAGCACCCTGGCCCCCTGATGTTGATCGGGCGTTTTTTTGTTTATATATATATATATATTTCTTCCTCGGGGGGGGGGGGGGTTCAGGCGCCCATTGCCTTTGATGAGTTTTGGTTCAAGCCGCATCGTTGCCTCGTAGAGGCACGCAATAATACCATGCGTTGTCGGTGGGAAAGTGCGTGTCTTAGTGATGTTATCCATAACGGTGTTGGGATGCAAATCGTGCGCTTGTCCTGCGGTTGGGTGCGTGGTGTCGTGTCGGGTGCACGTGGTATTTTCTTACTCGTTGTCGCCATTGTGCGCCATGCACGTGTTGTAGCAGTCGTTAAACTGCCCTGGCGCCAACGTGAAACCCATCTGCGCCCCGTCTGCCGTGCCCGCATGTATCGCCCCCGTTGCAGTCTCCATGGCCAAGCAGGCATTATGGATAGCTTCCATCGCAACCGGTTCTTTTGATCATCCACGTATTTCCATGCAGCTGCCTGTAATAGTCGTCTGTCCGTGCTGGCGGATGCGTTTTTGCAGTCGTAGTTACAGCGTGTCGTGCTGTGTCTTGCTTCGGTTGATCCTAATTGCTTTGCCTGTGCACGCAGAAGCGGCGAGTTTTGTCTGTTTCTTTGTGCGAGCCCTCCTTGTGCCGATGGTGGGTGCTGTGCTACGGGGCCTTGTATCGGGATCCCTGCGTGCCACCTCATCCCGAAGCTACAGCGCGCATGCAATATTCGCTTCCCTGCAATACCCTTATTGTGGCTGTGTTCGTCTGCATCGCATGCAATACTCCTATGCTGGTCCACCAGCGTGGTCTGGATGGTTCGGCACAAGCACAACCGGTCGCTCATATTTGTCTTGAAGCTCTGCTGCCCTCCGTGCAAAGCCGATGCCGTCCCCAATCATGCGTGCTCTGCCCTTCCCACATACTACGGACGCACCGTCAGCTGGTCCAGTTCGGCACCCCCAAGCTCCTTCGGATCTTCCTAGTTTCGTGCCCGTGATCCATCCCATCTTTTGCAGAATGTCCCTGCCAATTTTGGATTTGAGCAGCGTGGTATGCTTCGCTAGCTCCTCCTCGTCTTCATCCTTTTCTTCTCTCGCAAACGCTCTATGTCCTATCCTCACACTCGCTTGGGCAGGGTTCTCCAGATGAGCCTGGGTTCGAGCAGCATCCACGTGCATTCAATAGGGACGACCCCAAGCTGGCCATGGTTCTCTCTTCTTGGCTCTCCTACACTATTGGATCATGGCTCTCTGGTTTCTCTCTGCTGCATGCCACGTTTCCCAATCCATTGGTAATGGCCCAATGGCAATTGGTCGGCATACGCTGCTTCGTACGCTGTCCGTGTCGTCGCAACACACATCTCTGCTCCTCTTAGCCCTCCTTCGTGTGGATGTTCGCCTCGTTCTTCCAACCGAACGTTTTTGTCCCACTGTGTTTTAGGGGAGAGGTCGTATCGCGTTTTAGGCCCCCGTCCGTTCATAATGTAGGTAATCCTGAGCCGACGCATCTCCCCAACATTGGAAGTCGAAGGCACTCCATATATGTTGTGCCAGCTTGGCCCGTCTGTTCTTTACATGCTCCTCCCTCCTTCTTTCAAGCAGCGCCGTCACATCCGCAATATCTCCCACTACTTGATGGTACTCCCCCTCGCTATTTTTTATGTTCAATGATCCTCTTCATTCCCTTCGTCGTGCCAACAGCTCCGTCCTCTTGTCTCGTACCAGCAGGAGGATGAGGAGAAGGCTTGGTGCTGTGTTCCATGGGTGAGCGATCCTCGCCGTAGAAAGCTGCCCAGGCCCGCTGGCTAAACAGCCAGGGCCCTGCCGCTCCTGGAATGCGAATCGAGGACCAGCCCCGACACCACGCGGGAGGGCGGGAAACAGAGGTTCCCGCCACGGGGCCCAGGCTGCAACCTGGCTCACCTCCGTCCACGCTGGAACGCTGCCTCCCAACAGGTGCAGCAGCAACGGTCTTCTTTTTGTTGAAGGCTCGTGCGGCAGCCGAGTGCCCAGGAAGCAAGACTTTCCCCGAGGCATGGAGATTCTGCGCCCCTGCGCTGCCAAACTGGTGTCGGCAGGGTCCTCGCAAGGCGCGGAGCTGGGAGGTGGCGACCGCGCCACATCTCGCACAATACCAGAGGGGCTCGACTCGCGGAATAACAAAGCCTGAAAGGGATGAGACGAGACATGTCAGGAGAAGGAGGAGGAGGAGGAGGCAGAGGAAACAAACGAGGTAGGATGACCAAGTGGAGGAGGCGGGAAGGGGCAAGGGGAGCAGCAGCAAGAGGTGCGGCGCGGCGCATCGGAAGCCTCCGCCACGGCTGGAGCTCAGGGTCTAACCCGGTGGGACCCAGTCCCGCCCGAGCCCACGGCGCGGCGAAGCGCGGGCGGACGACCAGAGGGGAAGGGCGGGGGGGGAAGCGAAGTAGGAGCAGGGGGCACCCGAATCGTTCGGGATAATTATGCCTGGTCCGGGCAGGCCCATGCTTGGTGTCCCCAGATGTGATCCAGGAACGCCCTGGAACCGCTTAATATGGGATAACTTCTGTTTCAGTCCTGGGCAACATCCGCATGGGACAGATAGAATGTGACCTGGGAGGACTGACTAGAGTTGAGTGCAGTCCTGGGCACCTCCAGCGCGAAGACGGGAGGCTCGCGTCAGGAGCTATCCCCGCCCGCCCGCTGCCGTGAGCATTCGGGGCTGTGAAGCACGGCCACGAGAGGGCGAGGGAAGATGATACGCAAAAGGCATCTGTGCACCACCGCGCACGGCCTGTCAAGCACGGAGGTGTTGTAACGATGCCCTCGCTGGGGAGAGACGCTCACTCGCCAAACTGGCGGCCGTCCGCCGCCTTCCGTCGACCTTCCGCCGGCTTCCGCTAGCGGACCCACCGCCGTTTGACTTCCACTTCCCCCAGCCTCCCGCCGCCATTCCGCTGAGGGCGAGATGTCAACACCCTTCGACACCCCGAATGCGATGCCCCTCCTTGAAAGCCCTCGGCGAACAGTGACGCGCGGTCCCTGCCGGCTGTCTGAACTGGGGGCGGGGGTCGGGCGCCAAGATCGGTCTTGTCGGCCACGGCCCGTGGCCACTCATCCCAGACACACTCACGTCGTGAAAAAATCAGGACGGGAAGTTTCTGACAACTTTCGGCTGCCGGTGGCCCTCTCGCCAGGCCCCGGGGCCATCCACATAAGGTCTCGGGATGAAACGCTGGCCTGGGGAGGGGTCGGAACTTCCGGGGACGGCGTACGGAACAAGTCAAGACCTCGCATGTCTGGGGTGCCTCCGTGGGCTCTCTGGTCGCACCGCCGCGGAGCCCCAGCCGTGGCTTTTGGAGCCCCGTGGCCGCCTCCCGCCGTGGAGGGGTGATTGGAGGCGCTCTGGTCGGCCCTGCCCCTCGCAGCCTCGCGGGCCTCCTCCTGTGGCCCCGTGGTGGGGCTCCCAGGCTCGATCGCGTCGGCGCGGCTCGCGGTCCCTCCCCGCTGAGTGGCAGGCTCAAACCTGAGCGCTCTCGTGGTTCTCACGCTGGCGCGGTGCTCGAGTGCGCCCGGCGCCGGAGTGGCAAAAGGCGCGTCACGGTGATGGATGGTGGAGACTGGCGGTGAAAGCAGAGAAAATGCGGTGCCACTGCAAGGCCATGTTGGTGCATCACAAAACCAGGCATGACAGAGTATAGCTCAACACCCATGTCGCAACGCGTCGCATAGTATGGCAGGGAGCATCGCAGTGCATCACCATATGACAACTCTTCTATGTGTTCCATTGAAGCAGAACCCCCTCCTGCGACCTCGACCGTGCCGTCTAGACACCAAAGTCACTTCGGAGGAGAGGCATGAAGACCGGCATAGGTCCGACGGACGAGGGAGAAGAAGGGGGAAGTGAGTGGCGTGGAGACGAAGGGAAACGAAGAAACATATGAAGATGCATGCGAGGCCGTCCTGGACCGTGAAGCCAACAATGGCCTCCACCGACAGAACATCGATGCCCTGCTTCGCCTTATCGTCCGCATCCACGTCGATGTCCTTCGGTTTCACCATGGTGTGATCCGTGGAACTCCAGATCATCCACTGTCCTCTGACGCAGTGCGGGCCACCTTCATTAACCGTCGCCTCGTGCGCAAGAATCTCGTCCCCAGCGGCGCACCCAGCCTCTCTCTGCAATCCCTGAAAGGCATGTGGCGCGATGTACCTGCGGAGTCCAATTTTATAGTTTTGCCATCAGATGTCGAGGATCGAAGAGTGGCGTTGGGAAGTGTTTGGGGCAAATCCGCCGACCATGTCGGCGTGTGTGAGGGGCTTGTCCGTTCAACTCTTCATGTCTGTCATTCGTTGGTCGTCGTCTCTGTCGTCCCCTTTCCCTGCCTCCCCCCGTTCCCTGGGCTCGTCGAAGCTCCCCCCTTTCCCAGGGACCTCCTCAGCGCGCCAGCCAAAGCAAAATTGAGCAACGTCGTAATTGAGTCGAAGGGAAGCCCCTTCCTTTCGATCCCTCCCTCGCCGGGGGGGGGGGGAGGGTCCCGGAGGGTCCCGGGGGGGAGGGTTCAGACGCCCCCCCTGGGAGTCCCGGAGCCCAAAAAAGCCCCAAGACGGGCCAAGAGTGCTCCAAGAGGCCCCGAAGACAGTCCAAGAGAACCCCGAATCGCCGAACGATCTGTCCAAGACGCCTTGACGGCCTGCAGACGGCCCAAGAGGCATGCAAAGCGCCCCCAAGAGGCCTCCAGGAGCTTTCCCACGAGAGACCCAGGAGGCCAAACTTATGGATTCCCCATACGTTTTTGACAGATTTGGGCGTTCTTGCCTCTTCCACTTCCCGACGCGCCAAGACAGCCCAAGAGGCAGAGGCCCCCAAGTTCGCCACGAGACGGCCCAAGAGGCCCCCAAGAGGGTCCCCTAACGGTCGAAGAGGGCCCCAAGACGGCCCAAGACGCCTCCAAGACGGCCCAAGAGGCCCCCAAGACGGCTCCAGGAGTGCCCAGACGGGGCACCCGAACGGACATTTCGAGCTCTCAGCCCCAAGAGGCCCCCAAGAGGCCCCGAAGAAGCCCCAAGAGGTCCCAAGAGGCTCCCCAGGGGCCCCCAAATTGGCCCACGACAGCCCAGGAGAGTCCCAAATTGCCCAGGAGGCCTCCAAGAGTGCCTCGAGACGGCGCAAGAGGAGCCCTGGACGGCCCAAGACGGCCTCAAGAGAGCCCCAGGCTGTCCCAAGAAAGCCTTTGGCCTCCTCCTCTTCCTCCTCCTCCTCCTCCTCCTCCTCCTCCTCCTCCTCCTCCTCCTCCTCCTCCCCCCCCTCTGCTCCCCCGCCTCCTGCTCTCCTCTGCCTCCTTCTCCTCCTCTTGCTTCTCCTCCACATCCTTCTCCCCCCTCCTCATCGCTCATCCACCTCCTCCACCCTTCCTCCACCTCCCACTCATCCTCGTCGTTCTCAGGGTCGGCGGCACCAGTCGTAAGGCCTTCGCAATCTTGGACTATGCCTGGGCCGTCGGAGGCCTCCGATCGCTTCTGGGGATCTCTGGGGGTCAGCATCCACCAGCCCCCCTGTGGGGCCATCAGGCTGCGTGGATTAGGCTTGCTGCTACCTGCTCCAGTTCTAGTTTCAAGTCTCCCATGTCAGCATCCTAAGTTATACCTCCTACTGTAAATTGTTGAAGTCCGCGCGAGGGGGGCGAGCCCAATACAGTGTTGTTTTACCACGCTTCCCAGGGGGTCTCAGAATTCACTGGGGGGAAGTGGGACAAATCAAAATGCATGAATTTCGGGCCCCAGAGGCTACGATCCCTCGTGAATTACTCGACGCGACTCTCGGAAAGCACTTCGTCTTGATAGTCAATCCCCTCTTTTGTAGCATGCGTTTTTGGGGGATGTCCCTGGCGATTTGACTTTGGTCGGCGGTCCCAAAACGAAACCAGCGATGTCACGATCCCAGTTGTTCGGGGATGTCTCCAGCGAAACACTCGTTTTAAACACATAAGCTTAACATCGAGCAGCCCAGAAAGCCGTCCCACTCGGTAAACATCGAGGGGCTAGTACCACTACATCATTCGGTCTCGCTTTGCCCTCCCCCCAACCCCCGAACCCCCTCCCTATAAAGGTTTCGCCCGAACAGAAACTCACTGGCTATCGCTCTTTCCGTCAACTTGGCCACCGCGGAAACGGAAATCATGCTTCAGCAACTTGCCCGAGATGGCTCTTGGCACCCTTCGCTCTTGGGAGCCTTGGTGTTAAGAGCTTGTTGCGTCACCGATCGTTCAAGGGAGCCTTGCTTTGATAGTTCGAGTCGGGCCTACATAGAGGTCTGTGGTTGATGGGTTTTGGGTGGCCGCAACCCCCATGGAGTTATGATGGCGCGGATGGGGCGCGGAAGGCTAAACAAACATAATTGTTCGATTTGGTGTTTGCGCCAAGCGGCACGAGAAACAAGCCATGAGGTTTCGATGCGGCTACAACGTTGCCAAGAGCACATCATCGATCGGCATTAGTGGTCACGATGCCAAGATGGGAGCATCGAGTCAAACGGGCGCACGATGCCCTCGCGGGGCGGGGCGCCCCCAAACGCAGGACACGGCCCAGAGTGACCACCCCCCAACGCGGACTGCCACCGCGGGGGGGGGGAGGGGCGGCGGCGGCGGAAATGACTCGAGACCACGGTGGCGCCGAGGAACTTGACGGAGGGGAAGTTGGAGGAGCTGGGGCGGCGAGGTTTGGAGAGGAAGGGCAACGAGGTAATGAAGAAACGCGCAACGGGCGCGGATGGGGCAGAGACAAAGAGGAGGAGGGAGTTGGAGGGAGGAGGCAAGCAAGGGGCGAGGAGGGAGGGGGGGGGAGGGGGCGGGAAGGAGGGAGGGGGAAGGAGGGATGGAAGGGAAGGAGGGGGGGAGGAGGAGGGAATGGAAGGAGAAAAGGAGGGAGGGAGGGAGGGAGGAGGGAGGGGGAAATGAGGGACGATCTTAGACCTAGCCGTGGAACATATCGTTGCTGGCTTAAGTTTAACTTCGCACCCCCGCACGTCATGGTTGGGGGTCGCGGCGGTGCAGGCGGCAACCGACGAGTCTGCACAACAACACCAACACCAAGCGTTCCGCACCGCCCCCAAGATCGCCCAGCACGGCCTCAACACGGCCAACGATGGCCCCAAGATGGCCCCAAAACGGCCCAAGCTGGCCTCACGACGGCCCAAGGTGGCTTCAAGACGGCCTGGGAAAACCCTCGAGACCTCCCGAGATGCCCCCAAGACCTTCAAGGCTCATTTTAGGATGGCTCAATATGGCTTCAAGACGGCCCAAGAAGATCCTCACGACAGCCAAGATGGCTCTAAGGCGGTCCAGGAAGACCCCCAAGACCTGCCAAGATGGCTCCAATACCCTCACGATCCACCTCAAGATGACTCGAGATGGCTCCAAGGCGGCGGAACAAGGCCGAACGGCAACAACGGATGGAGGTGGAGGCCGAGGTGGAGGAGGCCGAGGGTCTCGTCTTCTGCGGTCACACGCGGGAACGTCGCCGTCGCAGGACGGCCGGCGCTGGTGGCGCTGGTGCTGGTGGCGCAGCTGGGCGCACCACTGCTGCTGCTGCTGCTGCTGCTGGTTGCAGCAGCACTACTGGTCAGCACCTCGGACAAGCGGTCCGGCACCGCCTGCAGGATGGCAGCGTTCACGTCGGCCTCGCCGAAGTCGTCGGCGTCGCGCACTGCGTCGCGCACCGAACTCACCTGTCGGCGAGGCCATCGTCCGCCACAGCAGTCTTCAGAAACTGGAGGGCCCTCGCCTCCCACAACATTGATGACGAACGGCACTGGTCACGCTCGAACGCCTTCTGCATGGCCTCAAGCGCCTCCGTCTTCCCACGCAGTTCGGCATTCTCTTTAGATTCGTTCTGTCACCTTGATGCTGCCCGCGAGCTGCTTGATCTTCGCCGAGATGCCCTTCTGTTTGAACAACGTCTTCGCGGCGCGGGCTAGCAAGATGCCCAGCGCCCCTGCGTCGGCCACATCCTTGGCCCGGTGCTTCTTATTCCCCTGGAGGTCGCCGCCCGCGATCGAGCCGAGCTCCGCGAGCTCCTCGTTGACGGCCTTCATCGACATGGCCCAGAACGCCTCCGAGAAAGCAGCCAACTTCTCAGGGCAAGCGTTCAACAGGGCGTCGAAGTGCTCCTTGCACTGCTCGAAGAACCTCACGCGCGAGCCGAGGTGGATGCAATCGCCACCCTGATCCACCCGACCTGCCTCGCAAGCGCCCGCGTCGCCCCTCTCAGTCGGCGGTTCGGCAAACTCTCTCGGCGCGACCGTCTCCCTGAACACGTCCTAGGTCGCCCTGAGCTCAGCCCATGCCGGGGCCACGCGAGACCGCCCACATGCGGGCGACTGGGCTGCGAACTCAAGCGGGCGCACTCAACCCCCCATCCCGCACCCAAAACGACCCTCCATCGTCGGAAACACCAACCCTGCATGCGCACCTCCATTGCCATTCCCTCAGACCCCACCCACACCGACCAAACCAGCACCCGCATCATCGCAGCAACAATCGGCATTGCGTGTCCAATCGTTGCCTCCTCAGCCGCAGTCGAGCCCCCTCCAAAGTCAAAATACTCGACGGCCGCCTCGTAGTCCTTGAAGGCCTTGAGCGTCTTGCCGAACTGGACGAGCCCGCTGGGGCGGACCCTGTCACCCAGCAAAGCCCCGCGTTGCATCAGGGAGGGCTCGACGTGCTCAACGAGGGAGATGCCCAAACCCGAGGCCTTCACGATATCATCAACAGGTCTATTCACAACCTGTTCGGGAGCGACCGTGACGAGCGAGCTGACGCCTTGCGCGCGACACTTCTCGATGCACTCCATGATCTTCTTGGCCGACTCTGCCCTGGCGAACTTCGCCCCGATGCACTTCTGGCGGGCGTCGCGCACCTTCTCCGCAGTCTCTGGCATCTCAAAGTCCAGGGCGGCGCATGCGCGCAGGAGGCCCCTCTCCTCGGCCGCCGACGCAAGTCTGGCCGCAAGGTTGCGGAGCTTGGCGGCTACGTCGTTAGGCTTCTCGACGCAAGTCTCGCCCACCCCTCTTGAGTCGACAGCCTTGGCCATGAATGCTGTGAACTTGATCTCCATGGTCGCCAGCTTGGCAGGGTCCTCGGCAAACTGGGGCGCGTCGGGGCCAGTGGCCACGCGCGCTTGGATCCACTGCTCCAGCGAGCTGCCGATCTTGTTCGCCGGGTCGGTCGCCCCGCCCCCGCGGGGCTGCCCACCCCACTGGCCAAATCCATCAAAGATGACCCCGGAGTCGGCTGGGGCGGCGGCGGCCGCATCAGACCGCAGCGCCTCGTACGTGCTGATGGTCTCGCCATGATTGACGTCGGTGTGGCACGCCCTGTTGCGCTCGGCCACGCGCTCCATCAAGGTCTCGCCGAACGCGAAGACTACGTTCCCCCAGCCCTCGCAATCCCATTCCTCTCGAAGGAACCTGCGGACATCGCGTCCGGCAGGGCGCCTCATCAGTGCTCCGGGGGACGGGCCCAGCAGCGCCTTCATGCTCTCCGCGAAAACGTAGAGGGCATGCGCGAGTGGCTTCATATCCTCGGGCACCCCGTCGCGGACCTCCTTCGTTCCGACGTGCTCGGCGATGGCCCCGGCCAATTGAAGGGCGACGCGGTTGAGGATGAAGTCCCGGCAAGTCCGGAGTTTCTCGTCGCTGGGGGGCCCCACTTCGGAGAGAAGGGGCTCGAACATCGAGAGACGAGGTTCGTGGGCACCTGCCGCAGATGCCCCACTCCATGGGATGATAATGTTGACCGTCTGAAACACCGATGTCGCCTCGCGCGCGGCTGCCCCCGACAAGCTTCAGCTTGGACTTGTAGGCATCGGTGGTCCTGGCGTTCTTCGGCTTCTTCAACAAGTTAGTCCTCGCGTCCCTCTTCATGGTGTCCACGGCGCTACCACCGATGATCAAGAAGGCGTCGATGGCGTCGAGCAGCTCGCCGCGCGCATTGCCAACCGTTCCCGCACTGCGCGGCCTGAAGCGCCTCAGGGTGTAGATCTTGTCCCCCAACTTGTGATCTTGACCCTTGTCCAGCAGCGCGGCGAGTGGGATCGGCAACTCCAGCTCTTAGAGGCGGGCCTTGTCGGGGTCATCGAGCTGACTCTTCCCGCGCCTCAAGCTCCCGCGCGCTGCACCGCTGCTGCGCGCCGTCTCTACGTCGCGCAGGTCGCTGGCCTTGTCAGAGCCCTCTTTGGTTCGGCGGTGGCGCGCGGTCCAACAGTTCAGCCAACCTGCCACCGCTGACGGCGCCAAGCGTCGCGATGCCCAAGCCCGAGCCCGAGCCCTCCTCGGGCAAAGCGTCGCATAAAGCCGCCGTTGGCAGCTGACTCGGCTGTCCCCGATTCCTCCCGGGTTTGAGCGGCGTCACTTCTGCGGGCCCCTCGACCACCGAGCCATTTGCCTGCGCGGCCCCGATGGCTCGTTGCCGCACCTCCCCTACAGTGGGGACGCCCGCGCGCCCGCGCAGGGCCGACGGCAACATCTGCCCCATGAGCTTCTCCATCGCGCCCGAGGCGCTCGCCCCCTGCCCACCGCGGCAGTTGTTGCCGGCGTGGAGAGACCATTCCGAATGAGACCCGTACGTGCTAGACCACTTACGCACCTTCGTGTGCGGCCGGTCGGGGTCCAACACCAAAATGCCGCTCACTTCCTCAGCGCGGCGCTCGTTCTTGATGCTGGTAATCCGCTCGCCTGCGTCCGTAGGAGGCAGCGTGCTCGCGCCCTGGGGGAAGAAATCCTTATTGTACTTCTGGTCGTTGACAATCATGCAGTCCGAGAACGCTGCACATCCCGCGTCCGTCTTGAGGGCCACGTCGTGGGGGCTGGGGGCCGCCGAGGCACGGCCAGACGCGACCTCGCAAGTCGTCTCGAACGCAGCGCTGATCTCCTGATCGCGCGCTGTCTCCGCACGCGGCGCCGCCCAGCTGAAGTCGAAGCGCCACTGACCGCGCACGCACGCCTTGATGTGGTAGCTGCACGCGTGGAAGAACTTCGCAATCGTCCCCCCAGGGAACTTCGCATCTGGAAATGCGTTAGCATCGCTCTCCACTGCGTCGCAGTAGCCGCACTTCCCGATCTTCGGCGAGCCAAGGGGCGCGGCGCTCTTCCCCCCGCTCGGCAGCGGACCTGTGGAGCCCGCCGAGGAAAGACGCCCCTGCCGTCGCCGCGGCACTGGATCTCTTCTTGCCCGTCGCCGCTCTCGGCTGCTGGGTCTTGCCTGGGCCGCCCCAGCCAGCGCCTGCGCCCTGGCCGCGGCGCCTCTTGGCGTCGCGCATTCCGCCCTTCGAAGTGGCACCGTCGGACCGAAGGCCAACCTCTTGCACCCTCTTGGCGCCGCGCGCCATGAGCCGCGCACCGTCGAATGCAAACTCAAAAAGCGTGGATGTGCAGCCGCTCGCGCACATTAGAAAGACGCCTCGAGCCAAAACGGCTACGACGCGAAGACGGCGACTGCGCCGGTTGCGCCCAACCCGAGAGGCCCTCAACCCAGGCGCGTGGCGTCGAGACCCCATATGGCGCCCTCCATGAGTCTGGGGGCCGCCACGGGTCTGGCCTCGACTCCGTGGGCCCCCCAGGCTCGCGGCCCCCGGGGACCGCGGGCATTTTGATGGCCCTCAACCCAGACACGCGGCCATCTGCAGTGCGCATTGAACAGCCTTGGGGCTCCTCCTTGACCCCTGGGCCGCCCCGCGGGCCCGAGCGGGAGCCGCCTGAAGCCCTCTCAGAGCTCTCGTAAAAGACTGAGGGGGGGGGGGGGGGGGGGGGGGCGAGTGGGCCGTCGGTGCTCGCGCGCGCAGGGCCGACGCGCGCCGCGCGCGAGCGCGGCAGAGCTTGTGAGCACCGCGGCATGCAATCGGGCAGCCCCACGATGAACTTCGCGATGATGATGGCGGCGATGATGATTAAAAAAGTATATATATATATATATATATATATATATATATATATAGATATAAACATGAATGGCAATGCTTTTGCTGGGCCTAGGGCGTGGCCTGATGTCGGCCCGTTAGCCTCCACTGGCAAGGCCTGGGATGCGGCCTGGGCCGACCCATTTAGCCTCTACAGTGACAGGTAAGGCCTAGGGGTGTGGCCGAGGTTCAACCCATTTAGTCTCTACAGGCAAGGCCTGGGGCGCGGCCTGGGTTCGACCGATTTTGAAGCATTGTCGCTCATTCAGAATCGGGGGAAGAGGAAGAGGAGCAGGGGGGCGAGGAGGGGGTGGGGGCGATGAAGGGGGGGGGAGGAGGAGGAGGAGGAGGATGAGGAGGAGGAGGAGGAGGAGGAGGAGGAGGAGGAGGAGGAGGAGGAAGGGGACTAGCCAATGCCCATGTGGGCCCGACCGCGCACCCAGCGCAAATCCCAACGAGGGGCACCCCAAGCTAAGGTCACGGCAGGAAGGCGCGAGAGCGCAAACCCCAAAGATGGACCCCCCGCGCAACCCCAAACAATGGCACCCAGGTAACTGGCCCTAATCCTGATCCTTCACCTAGTCCCACTCCCAATCCTAGCCCTGGCCCTGCGGGAGGAGGCCCAGGGGCGGCTGAGGGCGAGGCGTGGGGGGAAGTCTAGAGGAAGAGTTAGGAATTGGGAGGAGGTCGTCGGAAGCTTAGGAAGAATGACCAGGGGAAAGTTTAGGAGGAACTCATGGGGTTTAGGTGGCGCCCCCCCCCCGCCCTCTTGGAAAGCCCCCCCCCCCCTGAATCCTCTCCTGCCCCCCCGCTTCCTCCCGCCGTCTTCCTTGACAGGGCCCCGCCAGGGGGGTGGGCCTCGCCCTTAGCGCGCGACTTGAACCCTCGGGCGCCCTCCTGGCCGGCCCCCCCCGAATCCTGGGCCCCCCCTGGGCGAAGCCACCTGGGACCTCTGGCTCAGGGCACTGCGGTGGGCTGTGGACACGCGGCGCGGGGTGCGATTGGCCACGCAGATGGGCGCGCGACGTTTACTTCGAGAGGCCTGCCTCGGCACGGCGTTTACTTCGAGAGGCGTCTGCGCAACTCTGAAGGCGAAAGCCCCCGCGCAACTATGAAAGCGCGCGCTGGCAACCTGCCGAGCGCGCAGGCTGACGTGGAGAGCGCGCGCTGGCTAGATTGCCTCTCGCGCAAGCTGATATGGAGAACGGGCGCTGGCTAGACTGCTGCCACTCACTGAGGAGGCTGCGTCGGAGGCGGCGGCGAGGACCGCGGCGCTGGCTGCTCTGGCACCTTTCCGTCGGAGAGGCCCGCGGCAGCCATGTCCTCGGGGTAGCGCGGCGTCTGCGGGATCGATGCGCCCACCGAGTCCTTCATGGAAGCGTTCGGGTCGACGTCGTCGACGCCCGCGTCGGAGCTTGATGAGTCGGGGCCCGAATCTTGATCAACGCGGACTCCCGGCGCTGCTGGCACTTCTGGAAGTGGGGGGATCGTCCTCGTAGAACTTGCGGATCCTGCCCGTCAACGCGCCCCCCAAGTCGCTGAATGGCGCGAACCGAACACGCACTTCCAATGGCTTCGGCTCCACTGCCACACATTTGCCAAAGAGGTTGCGCACCCCCCCCTGGCGTCGGTCGCTGCAACTTTTTCTCCAAGAGCCCGAATCCTGGAAAGAGGACGGAGCCGTTCTTTCGGAGGTCGGGCAAGGGCTGCTAAATCCGTGGCCGCTAAAATCGACCTCCGGAAAGTTGTCTTCGCCCTTCCGGGGAGATGCCCGTCGACTGTTTCGCGCGCCGCGCCTCATTCCGGGAAATTGTTTTTTCCTTCCGGAAATGCCGTTTTAGCAGCATCGGTTTTAGCAGCCCTCGCCCAACTTCCGGTTCTTGTCCAGCTCGGCGACGACGGTCGCCTTGATCGCTTCGAAACACGCCGCGATGGTGCGCGCCCCCGCGCCCGCAACGGCCGATACCCTGCGGCTCATGGACAGGGCGCTGATGGACTTGTGGCTGCATGACCGATGGAACTTCTCCTCCGACAGGCGGCTCTCTTCACCTTCTTACGCATCGCCCGCTGGCGGGCAGCAGACGTAGAAGGCAACGCGAGCGGCCGCGAAGTGCGAAATACACAATGGCTCGAACAAAAGATGGCAACTGACGGGTGCTTCTCCGAAACGCAACCCCAGGACCCTGCGAGGTGACTGAGGGGCCTTGGACTCCGGGCTCAGACGGAATGCGGACGCCACATTTCGTGGCGAGGCCGCTGGAGGCAGCGACGGCACCATATTCTCCACTCGACACATGGCAACACCTGGGGAACGAAACACACATGATCAATTCTACTCGGCACGCGGCGAGGGGCTCTCGCATTGGCGCCGCTGACACTCGTATTAAAAGCGTGCAACAGCTACAAGGATGGAGGGCGCGTCGTTTCCAACATGGGGACCTCGCCTTGGCGCCGCTGACAAAATATTATTGAAAGTGGGCAACAGTTACAAGGATGGAAGGCGGTCCCTTTTCAAAATGGGGCTCTCGCCTGAGACTTCCTCGCAAATGATGATCCTGAGGCTTGACATCTCCTACAGTTACATGGACGGAGGGCGGGTCGATTTCAAACTGGGGCTCTCGCCTTGGCGCCGCGGACATTCGCCTCGGCGCGCGGGGCCGCCCGTGGACTGGCTTCGGGCGTCGGCGCAGGCGCGGCCAAGCGGCCGACCCAAGCGCGCGCGCCAAGTCGGCTGCGAGGCCCCAGGCTGGGCCGCGCAGCGCACCTCTGCCCCGCAACCCCGCGAGCCGTCGGTCGAGAAAGCGCCCCCGTCGCGCCGGCAGAGGCGCCCAAGCCCCGACCCGCCGCGCGGCCGTTCTGCCGGAGGGGGTGGCGACGCCGCGCGCAGGTCGCCACGCGCGGTGGCTGGATGGGCCAATCAGATCGAGACGCGCGCGAGGACGGCCCGCGCGGTCGCGGAGTAGGGACGTCTGGGGGGCGGCCATGGCCCGCGACGCTGGCGCTGCTCCTCGGCGCGGGCTGCAACGACAGCGCGCGGGCCAGGCACCCGACTGCGCCGGCGCGCCAGCAAAGGGCGCGGTGGGCGGGCGGGCGGGGGGGGGGGGGAGTTCGGGGGGGGGGGGGGTACTTAAAAATTTCTGATATACCCAGCGCGCCCCCCCCCCTTGAGCATTCGCTGCGCTGTAGGCTGTGTGTGTATGTGTGTGTGTGTGTTGTGCGTGTGCGTGTGCGTGTGCGTGTGCGTGTGCGTGTGCGTGTGCGTGTCCGTGTGCGTGTGCATGTGCGTGTGCGTGTGCGTGTGCGTGTGCGTGAACGTGTGCGTGTGCGTGTGCGTGTGCGTGTGCGTGTGCGTGTGCGTGTGCGTGTGTGTGTGTGTGTGTGTGTGTGTGTGTGTGTGCGTGTGCGTGTGCGCGTGCGTGTGCATGTGCGTGTGCGTGTGCGTGTGCGTGTGCGTGTGCGTGTGCGTGTGCGCGTGCGCGTGCGTGTGCGTGTGCGTGTGCGTGTGCGTGCGTGTGTGCGCGTGCGCGTGCGCGTGCGCGTGCGTGCGTGTGCGTGTGCGTGTGCGTGTGCGTGTGCGTGTGCGTGTGCGTGTGCGTGTGCGTGTGCGTGTGCGTGTGCGTGTGCGTGGGCAACCAAGGGTCCACGTCCCGCAACTAGGAGCTACGGACCGCGGCCTGAAACCAGCGGGGCCCACATGGGCCGCTTTGGAGCCACTGGGCAATGCCAGGAGCTCGTCAGCAGGTGATCCCCAGATCACCGAAAGGGGCGCCTCCGAACCCCGCGGAGGCCAGGGTCAAGGACGAGTAAACGCACTCCCCATTGCCAGACTAGAGCGGCTTGCCCGTGCGTGGGTGCCTGCCACTTAGCAACCTGTCTCTACGGCGAGCCTTCTCTTCGAGAGCAGGGGTGGGACACAACTTCGGGGCAGGCAGGAGTCCCGCGCATTCTTGCAGCAGGCCTTTCGACAGCTGCCTGCCCGAGAGGCACCCGCAGCGTCGGCGCGCGGTGAACGGCGGGGCAGAGACAATCTCGTGGCCCCGCTCGTGCAGGACTTCGAGTTCCTGCCCCCCCCCCCCCGCCCGTGGCCGACCCCGCCTCGCTCCTCTCCTCCTGCTGCGCAGCGGCAGCCGCGGCGGCGGCACGGCCGCGGGCGGCCTGGCCCCGCATGTGCCGGGCCCGCGCTGCCGCTGCAGGCGGTGGAAGGGGCTCCACAGGCGCCGTCGTCGGCGGCGGCAGGGCAGGGCTGCTCGCCCGCGTGCGTTGCGCAAGGTCCCCCGCCATCCCCGCCACCCCGTCCGACGACAGGTCGCCGATCCCAGCTCCGCCCGCCCCCGCCCTCTCCAGGGGGGCCTCCAGCACGTCACCCGCGGGGGGCTCGGGGGGGGAGGGGGCAAAGCTGGAGACGGGGGCGCCAGGTACTCCCCTGGCAGCACTGCGAAGACGATCGGCGGTGGCCGCGCCACAGGCCTCTCCCGTCTGGCTTCCAGCAGGGGCACCGAGGGGGGAGGCACTGGGCTCAGCGCCAGCGCTCTCCGAGACACATCTGCCTTGCGATGGGGTCAGCGGCTCGGTCGGGGCCAGCGAGCGGGCAGACCGATCACGCTCGAAAGCCTGGGCCGAACGAGTGCCATGCAGCCGGCGTCGGGACCTCGGCGGGGCCTCGAGTGGGGCCGAGTCAGGCTCACGGCCACTGGGCGCCCGACACGCCACGCCGCTCGTAGAGGGGGCAGACGCGGCGGCCACGGTGGCAGCAGCGGCTAGGGCCAGGGCCACAACAGGCGATAGCTGTGGGGGGGCAGGACTGATTCCTGCCGCGCGCATGGCAGCCTGGGCCCGAAGCCTGGCAAGGCGAGACGCCACACAAGGGAACGATTCTAAGCACCGCTTGGTCTCGGCCGTACGAGCAACTCTATTGCACGCCATGCAACGGACCCCCTTTTCCAGGAAGCTCCGCAAACTCGTGCAACCTGAAGGGCTTCGGAGGCCGAGGAGTGGGAGGAGGGCGCCTAGGGTCAATCTGAGCAGGGTCCCAGGCGCCAGAACTAGCCACCCTCGCTGAGGCCCAGGCCATGCAACGGGCATCAAGACAGGCCTCCTCCATTCGAAACTTGATGTTGCGAACCAGGCGCTTGGCGGGGCTGGCCAGGTCTAGGGCAACCCTAGCAAACAGATCCGCCCAGCCATTCCCTAGCCAGTCCTGGAGGCCCAGGTTGAGCGAAATCGCCTGGGCCAACGTCTTGTGCGAGGGGATCCACTCAAAAAGCGGCGGCCTCCTGTTCTGCTTAGCCACATTGGCGCGGATCGCTCTCCAGAGGGCGGCGTGGCGAGCCGAGGCGGACTCATCGCGCGGGCTCCACCTTTGCCCCTCCTCCACAAAACTTAAATGGTCCGAAGCGAGACAGGTGACCTGGGGGGAGAGGCATGTGGCGATCAGTCCTGCATATCTCTCAGCTCTGGCCACTGTCTGCACGCCTGGGAGTGATCCGAAAATGGCCTTGCAGGGCCTGCCGTCCTCACACAGCTGGACAACGCCCAAGAACATCGGGCCAGCTCAAGAGTGTCCATGCCGAACCCACCTCCATCAAGGTACAGGAGGCCACCCCACGGCAGCTCAGGGACTCCCCAGTGGTGTACGAAATCGGGGCACATGGGCGGGGTCTCGGCGGGAGGAGGCATAAGCGGAATGGCGTAAGCGAACCTAAGGGCCTCATGGGGCTATTCCATGGCAGTCTCGAGGGCCTGCTGGGCCAAGCGCTCACGGGTCTTGACCACCGCCTCAGGAGCTTCCGGATTATGCAGGCTAGGGTCCAGGAGGGCTGGGCACGTGCACCAACGGTGGCCCTGGGTTTCACGCTCCGCTCCGCAAGCCAGGCACCTCCCGTCATGAGCTTCTTCTCAAACTTTTTCTGACGAGGCCACACCGCGTCAGTCCAGGCACACTGCAGCGAGCCTCGTTCCGCAGGATCCCGAACAACCTTCCCGACGCACCGCCTGATGCCGCGGTGCCAGAACTGCTCGCCGTTGTGCTCGGCGATGTGGCTCGCCGCCCGCGCCAACAGCCAGCGCGTGACCCCCTGGTTGACTTGGTCACGGACGTCACGGGGCGACATCTCCAGGAGGCTTATGGTGGTGCCGAGGTCTGTCTCGAACGTGGTTGCCGAGCTGAGCCGCCAGCCGATACGAGCCAGGGTGAGCCACAGGGCGCTGACGGGCCCTCGCACTTTGCCCCAGCTGTGCTGCGTACGCAGCTGGCCGTCCACGTGGTGCCAAACGTCCGTGAGCGACTGCGGCGGCACCCGGTTCTCCCAGACGCGCGTGGAGTACATGAAGGCGATGCTGCTGGTCGCGTAGTAGAGTGGGTCGACCAGCGCGTAGTCCTGCATGAGCATGCCCAGGCTGATGCTGCCCGTCGGTCGCACACCTGCGACCATGGCCGCAACCGTCCTGATCTGCTTGAGCGCGGCGTCGGCGATGCCGCTGACGGTGGCGCCGTGCGCGGCTGACGGGGTGAAGCCAGCCGTCTGTAGTCGGGTCACTCGCCTGGCGCCCGCTGCTTTCTTGAGGATCATGGTCCTTCTCACTCGTCGACGTAGCTGCCCCAACCGCTCAGCTTCCTGACGTCGCCTGACTCGCGCGCCTCCCAACTCATGTCGGAGGTTTCGAATCCATGGTAGCTCCGTGACCCGACGAGCCCTTGCGGCCCACCGAAACCTCTTCGCGGCACGGCTGGCTGAGGCCACGTAGCCGAGCTTCTTGATCTGGATGGGCAGCTTGGGGGGCTCGAGTTCATGGGTGAGCTGGTCAATGCCTTCGCCTAACTCCGCCGTGCTGCGATGCTCGGGTCCAGCCCATTGTAATGTCACCACGTCGTCCACCAACTGTCTGGGCTTCAGCGTTGGGCACAACGCCGTGACCCGCAGCATCGCCCTGTGCATGAGCACTGCCAGCAGCGTGGTCGCTTGCGAGCACCCTGCCACGATGCCCTGGTACGATGTGTACAGGTCGCTCTCGCTACCGTGAGCCCGAACGACTCGTGGCTGGCAATACAGCTGGACCAGTAG